ACACACACACACACGCGCTGGTGTTACCTGACTGTCCACCACCAGGTTGCGGATGCAGCCGGTGAAGCTGCGGTAACGTCGGTGAGGAGACGTTTCCTTGACTCCGCCCAACTGAAGAGGCTGGAACACGTTCAGATACCTGAGGAGGAGGAGGAGGAAGAGGAGGAGAGAGAGGAGGAGGAAGAGGAGAGAGAGAGAGGAGGAGGAAGAGGAGAGAGAGAGGAGGAGAGAGAGAAGAGGAGAGAGAGAGGAGGAGAGAGAGAGGAGGAGAGAGAGGAANGGAGACGTTTCCTTGACTCCGCCCAACTGAAGAGGCTGGAACACGTTCAGATACCTGAGGAGGAGGAGGAGGAAGAGGAGGAGAGAGAGGAAGAGGAGAGAGAGAGAGGAAGAGAGAGAGGAAGAGAGAGAGGAAGAGGAGAGAGAGAGAGGAGAACATGAGTGATAAAAAAGGGAGGAGGAAGACAATTAGACATGGAGGAGGATGAGTAGATGAGGAAGAGGAGGAGGAGAGGAAAAGATGTGAGGAGAGGAAAGAAAGGGAAAAGAAGGAGGGAGTTGGGGAGGAGGAGGACAAGAAAAACAATTAAGAGGAGGTGAAGGAGGAGGAGAGAGAGAGGAGGAGGAGGAGGAGGAGGAGGAGAGAGAGGAGGAGGAGGAGGGGGAGGGAGGGAGGAGGGGGAGGAAAGGGGGGGGAGGAGGAGAGAGAGGAGGAGGAGGGGGATGGGAGCAGGCATGTCAAATATGGGAGAAGAGGAAAACACAGGAGACTTTCTCCTCCTCAGTGTCTCCAGCTGTGACCTCACCTCTGGCTCCCAGGAGTCTCTCCTGCAGCTCTGCAGCCGGACTCGTCCACCTCCTGAGCGTCGCCCCCGACCCCCTCCGGCTCGTTCACCGCCACGCCCCCACACTGATCCAGAATCAGCTGCACGGACTGAACACACACACACACACACACACACACACACACACACACACACACANAGAGAGAGAGGAGGAGAGAGAGGAAGAGAGAGAGGAAGAGAGAGGAAGAGGAGGAGAGAGAGAGAGGAGGAGGAAGAGGAGAGGAGAGAGAGAGGAGGAGAGAGAGAAGAGGAGAGAGAGAGGAGGAGAGAGAGGAAGAGAGAGGAAGAGGAGGAGAGAGAGAGAGGAGGAGGAAGAGGAGAGAGAGAGAGGAGAACATGGGTGATAAAAAAGGGAGGAGGAAGACAATTAGACATGGAGGAGGATGAGTAGATGGAGGAAGAGGAGGAGGAGAGGAAAAGATGTGAGGAGAGGAAAGAAAGGGAAAAGAAGGAGGGAGTTGGGGAGGAGGAGGACAAGAAAAACAATTAAGAGGAGGTGAAGGAGGAGGAGAGAGAGAGGAGGAGGAGGAGGAGGAGAGA